TACATAGTTACTACAATATTATTGTCTCTACTCACTATGCTGCACTTCACTTGGGATTGCTGTTTTTCAAAGCAGTGTGCCATAGGCCCGGAGACATGAGGTAAGGGGGAGCTGTCTGCTGGTAGTAGATATTGTGGTAGAGGCCTAAGACCATGGGTTTTGAAGACAGGTGGTCTAAGTTTAAATCACATCTCTGTCATTTGCAAACATGTGACCTTGGACAGGCAATCTCTTTGCTTTGTTAACAAATCTCTACTTTCAAAAGTTATAGTTCAATAAAACAGTAAGTATGGACATGTGTAGCATGGTAGTTTGCACATGGAAGCCACTGGTTTTCAACGAGAATCATAGTAATGATGTGGAGGAATCTGGTTATTGAATAAAAGCCTTAGATTATAGAATCCTAGAATTGGAAAGTGTAAGCAGACCTTAGGAATCTAAGGCAACTTTGTGCTCCTTCCTATGAAGTGCATCAAAGGGGAATCAACCTAACATTGATTTTTACTTGAGGTTCATGTTTGTGCACGTATTGAAAAGGTAATTTTTGATAAATCCTAACTTGTCCCCTGCTCATCTATTTTCATTTCCCTTTGTCCATTGTTATCGTCTATCCCAATAAAGCTGGTCTGTGAAGCGTGATAATGCAGTCAAGGAAATGGGCTCCATCTCCTTGACGTGCCCAGACACCGGGTCTCGGGATGATGTCTCCCTGGTGCATATGCAGCACTGCTAATTATTCTGCTTTTAGACATAATGACATGTCAGGACATGAAACCTGGGGCCACGGCCTTTATTTAATCAGGCAAGAGTGGATTTGTACATGCCTGTGCATAAGAAACAATCGCTGAATGTAATTGAATATTGATTTTTGGTATTCCCTGTTCCCAATGAGACAGCATCTAGAAAGATAAAATCTGGTTTATTCTAATAGAATATGTGCAAAGGGCACTGAGTGTGTTCCACGTTGCATCTTCATTATAAATTTCATTCTGAGACCCAGTTAACAGGCCCTGCTATTCTTTTCTATTATAATCATTTTCAAGAACTTAGGCAGCAGGATTTTTATGGTGTCACAGAGCATGCAGCAAGATCAATTGTGCCCTGTGAGCTTTCCTTTCCTGTCAGTGTCAGGATCTGAGGCATGTGATGCTGATCTGGGAGTGCTGGGTCTGAGGGGATGAGAGGCCTTGGATCCTGAGGAGAGTTAGCATCCCTTTTACCTCCTACACACACACACACACACACACACACACACACGCGCGCGCGCGCGCTCTCACACGAAGCTACTGCCCATCCTACCAGATCCCTAAGCTCAGGGAACAGGGCAGCCTTTTCTGAGGCAGACACTGAAGTTTCTGCCAACTTGGGCAGGGGCCTATACCATGAGAGCAGGGGATATTAACATAGGACCCATGTGGAGTTAGGATTTTGAGGTGGGAAGCTGTGAATTCCCTGAAATGATTTCCTAGGAAAAGAGTCTTTTGCCAGATTTTTGTGTGTTTATGATCCAAAAAAGTTTAAGAAACAGATATGTTCTTGCTTTGCTCTGATCTTTTGAGACCAAAGAGTGTTGGAAGGAATTTGGTTTTGGGTATCAGATGGATTTGGGTTTGAATTATTTTTAACGGATTTTAGCTATGTGGCCTTGACATGATCAGAGAGGCTGTGAAACCTTTCTGACCACCATTTTCTGAACTGTAAAACAAGGTTCAGAAAGCCTATAGCGTTATGCTAAGCAAAATAAGCCAGTTGGATAAAGATAAACATCACATTATCTCAACTCATGTGTGGACTATAATAAACAACATTAATGGATGAACAAAAATAGCCAGAGTCATAGAAACATCAAACAGACTGTCCAATCTAAGAGGGAAGGCGGGGAAGGCGGGGTGGGGGTGGTGGGGTGGTGATGGTAAGAGATCAACCAAAGGACTTGTATGCATGCATATGAGCATAACCAATGGACACAGACAGTAGGGGGGTGAGGGCATGTGCTGAGCTAGGGAGAGGTTAATGGGGGTTGGTGGGGGAAAGGAGACTTATGTAATACTTTAAACAATAAAGAACTTAAACAAAACAAAAAAAAAAGATTATAGTAGACTAAGTAGGCAGTTAGCCCCATGTCTTTTTCACAGTCTTTCTGAATACTATGGCAAGAGTAGATCTGCTTCTTCTGTACTGAAAGTTATCACCTCTGCTGGACCCTTGTCTGTACCAGGGCTGAGCAAAGCCAGTAGCCCAGATCTGGTCTGTTGTCTGTTCTTATAAATAACATTTTGTTGAAACATAGCCACTTTCATTGATCTATAATATGTGTCAGCTCTGATTGCTTTTGTACTGTGGCAGCGGAGAGTAGTTAGGTCAGAGACCATATGGACTGCAAAGCCTAAAATATTATCTGCCTCTTTCTGGGCAAAGTTTGCCAACCTTGGATGTATATTATCTGTTCTCCTTCCCATAACTCTGCAGGATTGGTCTTAAGATGCCTTTTTTATGGATTGAAAAGCTAAGACCAACAGAGTTCAACACTATGACTGGGATTACACAACTTATATACATGTTTAGGGTTTGAATCCAGGTCTGTGTGATTCCACAGCCCCTGTTCTTGCCACTAAACATTGATATCTTTTAACTCGGCCAGAACCTAGCTGAACCAGTTACATCTTCCAGTCCTGCCCATTGACTGTGACTGGCATGGGGAGCAATTCGGTGATGTCCCCTGGAGTCATGGTGCAACCTGGTGGTCTTGGCGATTGTCCACAACCCGGCTCAGGTCTGCAGTGTAAATCACGTGGATGTGCAAATAAGTAGGTGAGAGAGGGGATGAGGATTTCAAGGACTGATCCTGCAGATGGCAGAGCAATACGGGTGAGCACCTGTTTACATGCAGACATCATGCTGCTTCCCAAGGGTCAGCATTCCCAGGAGTGTCCTTGTTGCTGCTGGATGTGGCTTATACTCTCCTTTGGTTCCCTTGGTGAGTAATAGGTGATATTTGTGCATTTTCAGCACATGACCACCCAGCATAGACTTTTCCTGCTCCCTGTGAGACTAGGGGAACTTTGGACCTACGCGCTTGCCCACTGGCACTGTGCCCTCATTGGCAGGTCTGACTCTCAATTGGAGATGAAAGTTATTTCACAGTGAATTAATCCTGATGGAAATTTTACTGTTTTAAGGGTTTACAGACGAAGTTCTGTAGTTCTTCAGTTAGTTTTCCATCTGCCCGTGATTTCTTCTTCTCACTCGACTTCACCCTTCCAATTAATTTTTCCAAGCTTATGAACTGGTTATGATGAAATAAAAGAAACAAAATTGGAAAAATCAGCTATTCTGCTTTAATTGACTACATGGCAGTGTTACAAGCTGACGATAACAATAACAGAGACAAAATTTTTAGCCACCCGTCTGGAAATAGCATAGTTGGGTAACTGATGCATCTGTCAAAGCATGCATCTAATCAGTCGCCACATAAAAAGGGGTATTGTAACATCCAGTTAGTGAGGGGAGAGGTGAGAAGGATTAGGAGGGTGAATGCTCTTCACGATGGAGCCTGTTTTTGTTGCGTCTTTGTGACTAGTGTTAGGGACTGCCTGTGACACTCACTGCATGTGTCATGGAGCTGCTGACGGAGGATTCTGTAGAAAAGCAGCAGAGCTGCAGAGTGGACAGGAAGGAATCAGAGCTATAATTAGCTTCTGGGTCATTGTGTTCAACAACAGTGGCCCTTATGTCTCCAAAGACGAAACCCTGTGGTCTTACCCTGTGGCTGTCACGTCAATGACCCTTTCCGTCTATGGTGAAAATAGAAAACATAATAATGGGGCTGCTCTGGTGTAAGTGGGGATAGAAGAACCTGGTAGAATTAAGTCGTGTTTCATTTGTTGTGCCAGTGTGACTCTGTGGGGAAATAACGGGCTGATTAAAATTCTCTTTTTGTTGTTTAATTATTTAGAATGAATGCTTCCAGCAGACATGTTTCTCTTTGTAGTCCTTTTGGTTTATTGCTGACATGGTTTAGTGTCCAGTTACTTATTCTTTTTAATCCTCCCCCACGGATACATTTTTATTGCTTTTACAGAGAGGGCAAGGGGAGAGAGAGAGAAACATCTATGTGAGAGAGAAGCATCGATTGGTTGTGTTCCTGGCATGCCCTGACTGGGAATGGAGCCAGCAACCTGGGAATGTGCCCTGACTGGGAATCTAATCCACAAATTTTTTTGGTATTCCGGACAATGCTCCAACCAACTGAGGCACCTAGCTAGGGCCAGTTATTTATTTATTTTTTTAAGCTTTAAAATATCCCAGTATAGCTCTTCATGTATTTTATTTGTTTCTTCCATAACACCAGGTACTTCTCATTGGTCAATGCTACTGATGATTAATTTGTATTTCTGTCTTGGAAATGTGTTTATTAAGAACCCATCAGAAAATTCATGTATACCTTTTACTGGAGACTAAAGAGAAAAAAATTTAAAAAATTACAAATGATTATTGAGCACTTTGATTTGGAGAGAAACTGACAAATTAATAGAATTTTAATTTATATTGATGAAGCAAGTAATGGTGGTGCAATCACTTCCTGGGTGAGGGAGAGGAATGAGCAAGTCATAGGAATCTGTATCAATGGTGCTTTCTAGGGATGTTCATCCCAGGTATATGGTACAAGCAGTGCTATTAATTTGGGAAAGAGCAAGGCATGTTCATGGACTAGTGAGGGCCTCATCAGGTAATACTGATGCACCAAAACAGTTGTTTGAGAGCCCTTGTGTTTGGTCTTCCTGGAGCCATACTAGGAAGGCAAGCTGCTGCTATGCTATAATTTCTGCACAGATTTTCTCCTATGTTTTTTGTTTAAGCCCATGTGCATTTTCATGATTGGTTATAGTTTCTGTGGTGTGTGTGTGGCAGCATTTGAGGGATGGGGTTGTCCATAAGGCTCCTTACACTTGACTGCCAACTTTGCGGGGCTCACATGTCCTTATTTATATGTTTGCCAGGGAGAAATGCCTCCTGCCTCTCCAGTTGGCTTTGGAATCCAAGAACGTGAAGCTGGCCCAACATGCCTTGGCAGGAATACAGGTATGGCTCGCACTGAGTGCACTGGGGACGACAGAAATTGACAGGCCGCTTTGGCATGGAAAGAGCAAACAGTTAATATTTTAAACACTAGCTGTTTAAAGACCCAGACAGAATTTTGATTGAACTAGGTAACAACCAGAGAGGATAACAAGATTTTTAAAAACATTCATCAACATTTCTTTGAATACCACATTATCTTATTGAGCCTTTGGCCTCACACACTGATTTATGAGGACTTGGCTAAGCCGCACAAAAGTGAATTTTTTGTTAATCCTTTCCAGAGGATATGTTTTTCATTGATTTTTTTATTTGTTAATTTTTTAGAGTAGAAGGGAGGAGGAGAGGCAGAAAGAGAGAAACATCAATATGAGAGGAACACATCCATTGGTTGCCTCCCACACACACCCCAACTGGGGTTGGGGATCGAGCCTGCAACTGAGGTACATGCCCTTGACTGGAATCGAACCTACAACCATCCAGTCTGCAGGCTGACACTCTGTCCACTGAGTAAAACCAGGTAGGGCCAAAAGTGAAATATTTTATGTGAGGTCCAACTTTTAGGAGAATAAGGGATCCCAAGAGAGACACCCAGGTTCCATATCAACTCAAAAATCTTGTATACACCCAATGCCTGTGGTTCTGTGGATGAAAATTGATGGCAAACCTGACACATTTTGTTTTGTTTCCTACTCTACAGTTAGGTTGGCAAGTGGGATAATGTGTTTTGTTTTTCAGAGTAAGATGGAGAAGAAAAAATAAATTTGGTCTAATAGGAAAAGTTAGATTGTTTGGGAACATTTCCTTCTCTGAGCATTTGTTCATTTGTGTTTTACACATTACATAACAGAGCCATTGCAAGAGCACAAGAGAGATGGCTAGATAAATGCATTGACTTTTTAAGTGGTTTGGTTTCTAAGTGACAAGCACTGTGGGGTTCAAGCTGCGGGGGTTTGTTCAGCAGGGTCTTGGATCAGCAGCATTTGTAGGACGTCTTTTCACACCCATATGTGTAATTTCATCGTTAGCTCTCTAAGTTCAAAGAGGCCCCTGATACCTTTTCTTCCCCCCCCCCCCCCCCGCCGAATTAGATAAAGTATGTTTAATTTTATGGTAGCACTAGACATTTTTAATCATGATCCATAATGTTATTAAAAACGTTGCTCTTCTCCCAGGGAATTGGGCCAACCATAAAAATGAATGGAAGGTTGTTTTCACCTGCCACTGAGGTTCCTTTTTCTCACCTACTGTATAGATTTTCCATTTAGCTACTATTTTCTTAACCCTCCAGCACTCTAAGTTATGATAGCATCAGTGACCTGGTGGGCATTGAGCTTCCTCTTAACCATTCCTTGTTACCTCAGATTAACTTCAGGCAATATTTTTGGCCTTCCCAGTCTTTATCACTGTAGTTAGTAAGAGGTTCGTATATTAACTTTACCTCTGGGCTGCCCTGCATGCACTAGATAATAGTGAAAAATCTCTTTTGAGAGAATACAGGCACAAATGTCAGAGAGTTCTGAGAAGAAGGTTCACCATCCTTGTTCTGATCTATCTGCATGGCATTCAGCTAAAAGAGGGAGGCATAGCTCTGGACAATCAGAAGCCAAAAGCTCTTCACAGTAGCGACTCTACACTGAAGTGGCCAAGGACAGATAGAACAGAGATTAATAGAAAGTCCTTCACTGGGTCTCACAAACCCACTGCCCTGGGACACCATGGGGGGAGAACAGCTCACTTTCAGTCCTTGTGAATGAGAATTAGGTGTTCTCATTCACAAGTGTGAGTGAACACAGAATGTGGCATGACTTATAGCTCATTTGATCTGAGAATGTGATTAAAGCTATGAATTACCATTTGTTTGTTTAGGCAATAAACACATTTAATTATTTTACATAACTAGAATTCTATAGATGAGCCATTTTAGGTTTGGTGTACCAGCTCTGTGATGCCACCAAAGGCCCCATTTCTTTCCTTGGCCATCTTTTTATTTTTAATTTTTAAAAGTCTTTATTATTTTAGAGCAGTTTTTTACTTACAATAAAATTGAGAGGAAGGTTCAAGGAATTCCCATGCAGCTCTGTCCCACACATGCATAGTCTCCCCATTGTCAACATCACTCAAAAAAATGGTTCATGATTTTTTTTTTTTAATCAAGGAGGAGCCTACATTAATACACCATATTGATCCACCGTCCACAGTTTACCTTAGGGTGCACTACTCTTTCATGTCAGACCACTCATGAAGTCCTGCATTCACGCTGAAGGCCACATGTTTAGCCAAAGGGCACCTGTGAAACTATGCCATTGAAGGTGTCTGAGGAGGGCTAGTATAGAGAAAAGACTTAGATGGACATCACAGCTAATTTCAGGTACTTCAGAAGCCTAATCCGTGTGAATCTGGGGTAGGATAAGTGAGCAGAAGCTGTAGGCAGTTGAGTTTGGGTACAGTCTAAGAAAGAATTTCATGAAAAGCAAGAGTTGTCCTGAAAGTAAAAAGGGCTGTCCTGTGGAGCATAATGACTCCTGGGGAACCTGGTGAAAGTGAATATCTTTTTGTTTAGGTTTTTGCAGAAGTCATTTTCTAATGAAAATACACTAAGTTTTGTAGATTCATGAGCAATTCCTGGGTAAATGATAGTTCACAGTAGTAAGTGAACAAGTAAACATCTGAGAAAAGGAACTTGTCTACAGGACTTCTTTTCCATGACCAAGCTCCATTCAGGAGTGTGTGTGCGCACAACTCTTGTGAGGGTTGATTTGCCTGAGCCCATGCATGCTCTACCCGTCACCCAAATGACCTTGTGCCCACCATGTTAGAATTTCACTTGGTAAAATCCTATCTAATAAAGAGGGAATATGCTAATTGACCCTCACACCATCGCAAAGATGGAGGCACCCACAGCCAATAAGGAGGGAATATGCTAATTGACTGCCCCACACCTAAAGAGGGCAGCACCCACAGCCCCAAGATGTGGTGCCTGTCTCCAGAGTCCCCCAGTCTCCTCAGCCCCCAGCCACCCATGGCTGGCCCGAGGTGCAGGCAAGCCTCGGATGGCAGCTGCCCAGCTGCCCAGCTGCCCAGGGATCAAGTAACCAGGGATGGCCAAGACTTGTGCTGCCAGTACTGGCAGCACCGGAGGTGTAATGGGGTATCACCTTCCCCTGATTGCCAGGTCGCCTCCTGCACCTGAGGGCTCCTGGACTGTGAGGGGGGGCAGGCCAGGCTGAGAGACCTCCCCTCCAGTGCATGAATTTTTTATGTACCGGGCCTCTAGTATAATATATAATGACTTATCTAATTACAAGAAGAAGACTTTGCCAAAAAGTTTACCAAAAGTTTGATGTGTTGTTTTCTTTTCAATGACATCTAGAGCAGGAGTCCTTTCCTAATGGACTCCAGCTTCATGCCTCCTAAGAAAAAATTACCCTCTGTATGCCCTAAGCTACAACAGAGTAAGCGGCAGGGGAGAGCCTCTGTGATCACTGCCTTGTGCCTCTTTACAGAAGCTTGTGTCAGAAGAGAGGTTTGTATCCATGGAAACAGACTCCGATGAGAAGCAGCTGCTCAATCAGATCCTGAACGCCGTAAAAGTGACGCCCTCCCTCCACGAAGACCTGCAGGTGGAAGTGATGAAGGTTGGTTTGATGTGGCTACAAGCCTGCGTTATTGGCACAGGAACAAACTCTGACACACACACACACCCCACCAAAACCTCCCCCAACTCCACAGCTCTTATTGTTTTCTGGGAAATGCCTCTGCATGTTGGTCATGCTAGCTCACCCTTTGCTTGGAAGATATGGTAATTATCCTTGCTTATGGTCCCCCAGAGTAACCTTGATTCTTAAACAGAAAAGACAACTAAGTGAAAAGGTATGATTTCGATGCATCTATAAGATTTTTGGCCCACTCATGCATGTCAAATGTTAGAAAATGTATTTAACTTTTTTTTTTTTTTTTTGAGATCATGTATGTGAGCAGTTCTAGATTGGGACAGATCCAATCATTCTGGGTATCCTGCCTGCCTGTCTATGTTAAAACAATCAGGGTTCTAATGCTGTTTCAACGTTCACTAAGGTCTTAGAATAGTCGGTATAGGGGAAGAAGACCATAATTTGGAACCATATCAGAATCACATCTTTTTTTCCCCTGTTCAAATTATGTGACCTTAATCTCCCATATTCCAGCCACCATCTCTATTTGAAAATCACCATGATTGGGAGCCCCTTACACTGACTCTCCAGTATGTCATATCCTGGAGTGAAGAGTGAGTTGGGCAGGAGAAGGATGGGAATCTTTCCCAGAAGAGTGCCTTGGTCAGAGTAACAGCCAGAACCAGCAGACTGGCTTTCCATAATGTCTCTGCCCATTTTCTCCTTAGAGGAATGTTTAAGAATAGCTGGTGTCATAGAAAGGTTGATTTCTTCCTGGAAGTGCACTGAGGGATTTTTTTGTCTTAGATAAGAGATTCACTTCTCTGGGCTTCAGTTTCTCTACTCAGAAAAGAAAAGCTTGGTTTCTTAATGCCCTGGGACTTCCCCTAACTCTCTTGGTGGGTAGTGTAGTGATTAATGAAGAGCTCAGACTCCAAAGCCAGCCTATCTGGGTTAGAATCCTCATTCATTTCTTAATAGATTCATTCCCTTGGACAGACTCCTTAACCACTCTGTCTTGATCTTCTCATCTGTAAAATGGGGGTAATAGTAGCACCTACAAATACAATAGGATTGTTGTGGGGATTAAATAGAGTAATAGAATTCAGCGCAGTATCTGGCATAAAGCAAGTGCTTTCAAAGTGTTAAATATTACCACCACACTTCCTACTTTTACCTACTGCTACCTACTGCTGCTGAGTCAGAATCTTAGTGGTGGGTCTTAGTACTGTACACAGTAAATACTGGGAATCTTTGAGCTGGATGGCCTTGAGGAGATTGTCTTTAACTCTCTTTGCTTCTAGAATGTAATAGTACAGGTTTTTCCTGTCCTTTGACCTATTTTTTGTCAGTTGTGCAATCATAGGAACCGAGGAATAACCAACCACCTCTGGATTTGTTTTATTTTTCTACTACCCCCTTGGCCACTATTGGGGAAGAAGCAAGGCCAGCTGCCTTGTTAATTGCTTTTACTACTTCCAACTCTAGTCTGCTGAGTCCTTCATCTACTATTGAGTCTCAAAGTACTGGAGGCTGTGCTCTGGTGTCATACTGATGGACACACATGACAGATTTCATAATATCTGGAAATTCTCCCAGGCATATTGCTTTTTGTAGAGTACAGACATATGTATTAAAAATTAAAATGAGCCGAAACCGGTTTGGCTCAGCAGAAGACCGTCAGACTGTGGACTGAAGGGTCCCAGGTTCGATTCCGGTCAAGGGCATGTACTGTATAGAAGGCCTCTGCATCTCTGCTTAACAAAAACTATGGGGGAACGTTTTAAAACAGAGTTATTCGCAAATATATTCAAGTGGTATGGCACTTGGAAATAGTGGTGCATAAAAGAAAAAATAGATAATGTGAAAATACCTTTATCTCAAAAAGTAATGCATAAACTACTTAAAATCACATTTCTCAGTTTTCAACATTTTCTTCTTATTTTTTCATATATTTCTATTATCTCTAATGCAGTCACACTAAAGGGTAGAGAAGCTTGGGGGGAAAAGCAGTACAAATTTTATCAATGTGTATACAAAGTGGAAAAAATTATTTTCAATTTTCGGAGCAGGAAGAGGGAGGGCTGTTGGGGAACCATTTTCTTAGCAAAACCACCTATTTTAGTTTCTTGTGCACTAACCAAATAATGTGTTTATAATCATGGCAGACCAACCTCTAACAATTGCACATTCAAAATTAAATACTTTTCATCAAATACTGGATTGTTCCTTAATACTAGGGATTGCTGCAAAGCTTTAACGTGTATCAATAGACTTAGCTGTAGACTAAGAAGGGATTCCTCCTTGTTATGAGAAGACAAGACAATTCAGTCATTTTTCACCCTCAGACTTTGCCAATGATCATTCCTCCCCTAAGACACTCTAGAAGACCAAATGCCCAGAGTTAAGAGGCAAAAATATGAGACTCTGCCATTAAAATATTATTGAGAAGGGATGCAGAAATGGTCCTTCTATTTGGACCATTTCTTACTCCCAGACCAAGGCATGGACTGCAAAGCTGGTATTTAATTTAAAAGCACTTTCTCCTCTCCACTGTAAGACCAGAGTTCTATTGTACATGGATACCCTAAAGCTTAGGTCTACCAGTTCTACAGATAGTAAGCTTTTTTTCCTTTGTATTTTCTGTAGGCATCTGGTTGGCTTTGGTACAAAATATGAAAACATGTCAAAATTTTCTTTCCCTTCCCCTAACTTATAATCTTAATATCTCACTTTCTCTCCCTCCCACTCCCTCTCATCTCCTCCTCTCCTTCCCTCTTCTCCTTCTCATCCTTCTCGTCCTTCTCCTTCTTCTTTATTCTTCTCTCTCTCTCTCTCTCTCTCTCTCTCTCTCTCTCTCTCTCTCTCTCTCCCTCTCTCTCTCCACACACACACACACACACAACACACCAGACCTATCAACTAATTAGGTGGGAAAATTACTTCGATTCTTTCTTCATATTTGAATCTAGCTAATTGAACTAGTAAATACATAGAATGTTATAATGTCATGGGATGGTACAGAAAACACACTTCAAATCACTCTAGCTTTGCCCCTTGTTAGCCTGTGATGTAACTTTTCTATTCAATCAACTTTAAAATGTTTTTCGATAGAGTAAGAAGGCAATGTAATCCACTCTTTATGAACATAGACTTGACTTCAGGCTGAATTATAGCTTAAGTACTGGCTCTATCATTTAATTAGGTGTGTGATCTAGTATGAATGTCAAGTACTTAGCAGAGTTTCTGATGCATAATAAATGTCATTTCTCCTTTGAAAACTGTAAAGCCTTCCATCAATATTCATTTCTATTACCCAAAAATGCACATAAAATAAGATGTCCAATAACAGAACATTCATCATGCTTTCTCAGTATCCCATATCATAACCTGCCTTATCTACAAAGCTGGCCTGCCCTTCCCAGAGAGCATGCTCTCATCTCATCTTCTTTTCAAAAAGAATGGGGGGAAAGTCCCAACAGATCTAGTATCTGACCCAGCAATTCCACTTTTGAGTATTTATCCAAAGATAATGAAAACACTAATTTGAAAAGATCTCTGCACTTCTATGTTCACTGTAGCATTAGTTACAATAGCCAAGATACGGAAACAACCTAGGTGTCCACTGGTAGACGAATGGATCAAGATGTGGTTTCTATACACTCAATAGAATATTACACAGCCAGAAAAAAAAACAAACTCTTGCCATGTGCAACAACATGGATGGACCCAGAGTGTATTATGCTAAGTGAAATAAATCAGACAGATAAAGACAAATACTGTATGATTTTACTTATATATGGAATCAAAATAAACAAACAAAAAACAAAACAAAAACAAAAAAACACACAACAGACTCATAGAAACACAGGTTGCCATAGGGAAGGGAGTGGAAAAATAGGTGAAAAAGGTGAAATGGAATATAGTCAATAATATGGTGATTAGTTTACAGGGTGACAGATGAGTACTAGAATTAGTGGGGAGATCACCTTGTAAGGTATAAAAATGTCTAATCACTATGTTGTACACCTGAAACTAAGATAACTCACGTAGTATTGTGTACCATCTATGGTTAAGTAAAAAATACATTTTTCCCAATTCTAATGTTGAACTAGTTAAAAATAATAGCATGCAACAAAAGCCCTTGCCTTTTTTAAGCATCTTGGAAATCTACCTGTAAGGAATGGCAACCCACATTGTTGTTTTTCTTTTCTGACAATGATTGATTTCTTTCCAGACATTAATTACTAGTACCACACTCTACTGTGGTGTCATTAAAAAGCTCATTAAGGTGGCTTTCCAGAATTTCCAGGAGAGTTAACATGTGTCAACTCCTGTACTCAGCAAAGCTAGCAGAAGGCACTGCCAGGCTGTTCTTTTTTAAAGCAAGTATATTTACTGTGGGTGGATTAGGGTTCCTAGTAGAGCAGAGGAGATCCTCCAATTTTCTCAATCCTGTTGTCTACAAATATCTATTGCTTCCTCCGTGCTAGGCACAGATGATCCCTGGCAATGAAAATGAACCTAGCATGAAACAAAAACAGAGTCTTTGTCTTAAGGCCAGTGATAAAGAAATCAATGAAATACATAAATACACATAAACTGTGATAAATACAATGAATGAAAAATCTAGGAAAACTAAAAGTGTATTTATTATAAGGTCCGAGGGTAGGCAGATGAGAAGAACAGAGAAGTCTATTCTTAAGAGGTAATGTTTAAAGCAAATAGACCTAAAGTATTAGAAAGAATCAAGCAAGAAGACTGGGATTGGAGAAAGTGAAGGAAGAATTACTGTATTAATTAGGATTTATTTCCTCTGAAACAAGGCAGAAGTTTATTTTTCTTTTGCATAAATTTAGGTTAGTAGTGGCCAAACCACATTATCGGAAATGTTTGTTTCTTGGACTTTGTTTCCCCACCTCATTGTCCATGAAGGCCCAATCCCTCCTCAGTATTCATGGCCCCATTCCAGCCAACTGGCAAAA